ACACACATACGTACGCGCGCACGTACACACATACGTACGCGCGCTCGTACACACACATACGTACGCGCACGTACACACATACGTACGCGCGCACGTACACACACATACGTACGCGCGCACGTACATACACATACGTACACGCGCACGTACACACATACGTACGCGCGCTCGTACACATACATACGTACGCGCGCACGTACGCGCGCTTGTACACATATACGTACGCGCGGCTTTTTTTTACATTGACGACAACAGGTACGACACAGGAAACTGGCTTGCTAATATCTAACTTGACAGTTGAGAAAGATAACGCAGAGTACTGTTGTCTATGGATGCAAGCCGATGTCGCGCCGGGGAGCGGCTATTTCTCTAACAATGGTCATCTAACTGTGCTTGTGCCATCACAGTCGGTTGCCATGTCTCTTATAGACAGCTCTTCATTACCGGATGTAACGCTACAGTTCTCGTGGGTATCAGACAGCAGTAATCCAGCAGCTAGCGTCATCTGGTGGCTGAATGGTGATAATATTACGGCTGACTCCAGTCAAACAGAGGAAGCGGGTTCAAGAAACAAGACATTTACAGCAAAAAGTATCCTGAGTCACAGGTTTTCAACGGAAGACATTGAAAAAAAACTTCGTTGTCATATCTTCATTGACCAACGTTTAGCCGAAGAAGTGTTAACCGAGATTTTGTCAGCAGCAGCAACAACGCCAATGATGATGACGTCATTATTATCGAGGCAGAGAAGCTGATTCTACGCTGCAATGCTGACGGCTATCCAGAACCATCTTACACGTGGTTGCACGACGACCAGAGAATACAAGCTGCAGGCGACGAACTGGTGATCGAGTTTGTCGAGTTTAAACACAGAGGATTGTACGCGTGTAAAGCAACTAGTGTGTTTGGAGAATACATGTCGACTAACATGTTGAATGTGACNAGTCGAGTTTAAACACAGAGGATTGTACGCGTGTAAAGCAACTAGTGTGTTTGGAGAATACATGTCGACTAACATGTTGAATGTGACCGTGTTAGTGCCAGCAAGGAATGTCACAATGACGATAGACGGTAATAATGTAGACGGTAACATGACGATACTTGCGGGATCCCATGAGGTTAGCTGCACTACAGGTAAAAGCTTTCCGGGAGGAACAGTAACATGGAAGCTTGGTGATACATCTGTAGACGGAGCTAATACTTCACATGCCAGTGATGTTGATGGAACTATAACGACGTACAGCAAACTGACGCGTACGTTTTCCGCTGATGACCACGACAAAATACTTGCCTGTCATGTTGACATCCACGAATCATTCCAGTCACCGTCAGTCGATGTTCGGCTCAATGTTATTTACATTGGAGGAGTCAGAGTAAGCGGTGACAGCCAGGCAGGCGTTATGACTGTCAACGACAGCAGTGCGCTGTGGCTGCTCTGTAACGCAGACGGAAACCCCGAGCCAAGTTATTCATGGCTTCACAACGGAACTGTTATCACAGCAAAAGCCAACAGAACGTACGAGAGAGACTCTGTCACCCCTGTCGATGCGGGCGACTACGCATGCGCAGTGTGCAATCTTGCAGGAAAGGTCTTCTCTACTAATACAATGGCTGTGGTCGTTGTACCTCCACAACAAACATCAAGAATTGGACTTATTGTCGGACTGGTCATTGGTGGTTTATTAATTGTAATCCAATTCATCGTCATCGTAGTAATCCACCTGAAAATTAGATTAACTTTACAGACGAATACTCTGTTAAAAGGCGGCGCACAAGTAACGTACGAAAACGAGGACTACATCACGGATCAAGAGCCACCAGGTGGTCATAAGCTGGAGTTCTCCACCCAACCAAGCAGCAAACATCATGCAGTAGAGCAGTATGACTCCTGTATCGAGGATACCTCGATCACACATGCAAGTCGTTACGAACAAGGGAATCCGCGACCAAGTAAAAGATCGAGCCAACGAGCCTGGTCCGACGAACCACAAAATAACGACGAGGGCGGTTGTCATGGCTCTACCGGTAAACCCAACCTTNCGAAATGTACCAATAAAATATTATATTTCTCAAGTTTATTATTTTGTTGCTTGCTGTTATTGCTTTTGACATAAAATTTCAATCCTATATCAGAGAACGATACCTATATGGACATATACTTTGCGCGACAGGTCGCCGATATGCCCGCCCCCTACCTACATTAATTTAGCAAGGAACCCGTGGTGGAGCAGCAATTTTAGCCTCTGATGACTTCCGTTCATTTTATTTTATTGATTATTTAACCTCTAAACATTTAACCTCTGACCTTCTACTTGCACTTAACCTTACATTTCACTTGTAGTTATACATATTATTGCAACAGTTCTTTTAATTTAGAGAGCACACACCCAGTCACTGTAATACTCATAACGTGCCTAGTCGTACCAAAATTTCCTTGTATCATCACAGCATAACCTGTTTGCTTGAGTATGCCCAGCATCTTCGAAATAAAATATAATTGCTTTGTTCAATTTATTCGTTTAAAATGGAAGGCAGATACTTATTGCAGTAGATTAATAAGAAACCTGACTGATAGGAAGTCCTAGCTGACGTAACACTAACAAGATTTAAATCAGCCCAATAGATGGCGGTATGTGCATATATGCCGACAGCGCGCTTTTATAAAAAAAATAAGTGGAATAGGTATTTTAATGGAATTATACTTTCAATTTAAAGCCCACTCTTAGTTTATCACGAAAGATCTCTGTCCGGATCTCTCACTATTGTACCAAATTTCCCTGTTGCACCGCAGAAGTTTGCATTCGTGCATGCACAGTATCTACTAAATAATATAGTGTGGTGACGAAATTATACGTTTAAAATGGAGAACGATTGCTCGACGCAGTTTTTCACATGAAAAATAAGCACCGATGCCTCTCTTAAATAATGATACGGCGCCCCGATTGGCGTGACACTAACAAGTATAAAATCAGCCAATATAGAGCCGGGCCTTGCGCTAGCGTAGGCTTACTGTTGGCATCCTCACTTCAAAACAACTTATATTTATCTATACGCCGGCACCCCGTCGGACGGAATTTCGGCGAAATTTCCACAAGTGTAAACTTTGGAGCACATTTCTGGCTCAATGAAAACATTTCGTGATGTTTTCATACTGCAAGTATGCTTACAGTAGGTGTATGTAGGCTTTTTGTTGCGAGGCACTTTAAAACATGTGTGTTTGTCACTGAATTTACTCAAAAAAGTAGCACTGTATGATTTTAGGTATAAATTTGTCGGTATTGTTATGTGTTAGTGGTACAGTATCTTATTATCGGCATCAGTAAATCGTTGTTCACAATATATTGAAAAGATATCAAACTTATTCACTCGTCAACGAATATGAGATGTGATACGCATGAAAATGTTCTTTTGTTAAACTTTATAATTAAATAATATTATTGTTCAATTAAACGCTTATGGGATTATATTAATTAATTAAATATTAGAAATTGTATATTTAGTTTGGTATCCGTGCTTATAACGATTTATTCCTCATCTCGGATCTCCCGCAAAAGCACATTTTATAACACATACGAAGACAGCAGAATATCACAACCACTTTGCTTTATGTGGTGACGTCGCTGGCTGCTGCTATGCGTTTATCACATTGTGCTAATGTGTGCTCAATATGAATGAAATGAAATTGCATGAATGAGCATGACGTCACAGTGCAGATTAAACTGAAAATAATGCAGGGGTAATTGTAGTACTCATGCACTACTAGATATGAGACAACTAATCTGATTCTGGATTATATTGAAAATAAATAGCCGGCGAGTTGACATTGAATTGAGTTTATATTGTGCGTTCATGCCTGGGCGCAAACTCTTCATTTACGAAATGTACCAATAAAATGTAATTTTTCTCCAGTTTATTATTTTGTTGCTTGCTGTTATTGCTTTTGACATAAAATTTCATTTCTATATCAAAGAACGATACCTATATGGCAATATACTTTGCGCGACAGGTCGCCGACATGCCAGCCCCCTACCTACATTAATTTAGCAAGAAACCCGTGGCAGAGCAGCAATTTTAGCCTTTGATGATTTCTGTTTATTTTATTTTATTGATTATTTAACCTGTAAACATTTAACCTCTGACCTTCTACTTACACTTAACCTTACCTTTCACTTGTATTTATACATATTATTGCAACAGTGTTTTAATTTAGAGAGCACACACCCAGTCACTGTAATAATCATAACGTGCCTAGTCGTACCAAAAATCCCTTCTATTATCACAGCATAACCTGTTTGCTTGAGCATGCCCAGCATCTTCGAAATATAATATAATTGATTTGTCCAATTTATTCGTTTAAAATGGAAGACAGATACTTATTGCAGTAGATTAATAAGAAATCTGACTGATAGGACGTCCTAGCTGACGTAACACTAACAATATTTAAATTAGCCCAGTAGATGGCGGTATGTGCATATATGCAGACATCGCGCTTTTATAAAAAAATAAGAGGAATAGGTATTTTAATGGAATTATACTTTCAATTTGAAGCCCACTCTTAGTTTATCACGAAAGATCTCTGTCCGGATCTCTCACTATTGTACCAAATTTCTCTGTTGCACCGCAGAAGTTTGCATTCGTGCATACAATGATGCGGCGCCCCGATTGACGTGACACTAACAAGTATAAAATCAGCCAATAGATGGCGGTATGTGTCCTCCGTGATAGATGCAGTAAGAGCAGTTGCCCTGCTTTTAGAAAATAAATGGAATAGTATTTTAATTGAACTAACTATACTTTTAATTGAGAGAGCACATACCCATCATGCAGTGACTTTAACAGCCATAAAGTGTCAAATTGCAACACATTTTCTTGTAACACTGAGTGGGGCGTTTGTTTCCGCAAGTCCAGTATCCCCGAAATTAAATAATATTTTATTAAAATTATAAGTTTCAATTGGAGAGCACATTTACGTTACACAATATATCTCAGTGTCTCTCTTCAGTAATGATAGCGTGCCCTCGTACACTTCACGCTGGTAAATTTTAAATCACCCAATAGGTGGCAATGTCTCCTGCTTGGCATATGCGGTTTTATGTCCAGACTCTAGCAAATAAACGCAACAGAATTTTGCTGGATTGATATTTTTTACTATAGGGAGCAAGTACCCACCAGTCACATAGGGTGCCTAGCCGTGGTAATGTTGTTTTTACATAATAATTTAATATCACGA